AAATAACCTGGACGATAAGGAATACGCTAAAGTGGTAAGTCTATGCATATGTTACAAATTTGCCTAGTTTGCCTGAAAACGTGTTTTTGGTGTTAGGGTCCATTCAATAATTACGTAAGCATATTTTCGATTTTACGCCCTCCCTCCCTCATGTGTAAGATTTTCTTCATATATAATTGATTCTTTTTATATGGAGTGACAAGCCCCCCCCCCTGTGGGCTTACGTAATTAATGGATGGCCCTTTACTCATAAGCCGCACGTGTGCTACACCAGAACCCCTCCACCCTCCTCTCAACCCTGTCTCTGCATTGTCGTTGTAGATTGACATTATTGAAAATCATTCATTTCTTTCTAGCTTACTAACATGATTTATTTTTCAATATTTTCCTTACAGATGAAATTCATTCGAAACATCATTGGCCAGAATGGTGATGACTGCAATGGTTTGAATACTTGCTATCAAATCATTGATTATTTCTTTGATAGAAAGTTCATGCCCAATTGCTCCTGGACTGGTGCGAGCCGTGGAGAGAGTGTAAAATGCTCCATTCAAAACTGCAAAAACATACAAAATGTGTTTTTTGCGATCGTTAAGAGTGTGAACGATGGTTTTTCGGTTAAAATGATGGAAACATTTTTCAAGACAATGACAAAAAACGCGAAGAAAAGGAGTGAGACAAAGGGTTTGAGACAGTCGTCTTCTCATCATCGCGCAAGGAAGCCTACGATGGCCGCAGTTGGTGTAAAGCAAGGTATTGTAATACAGGGTGACTGGTATGTCATGGTCAATACTGAAAAGGGTAGTAGATGGCCTTTAACTGAGCAAGCAATTGTTCTACATTAAAGGGTGATACGGTCAAAATTTGGTCAAGGTAAAACGCGTGTAAATCGGTGAAATCGTTTATTTAAAAAATCAAATTAAATTTCTTTTTGAAGTTCAATTAGTATAAAATTCAGGAAAAATATTCAGTTAGGCTTCCGCTTTTCCAAATCCGAATTGCCGGGCCTTACGCTTGACCCCTGCCATCAGATTTTGTACAGCCACCTTGTCCACCTTCTTCGCCGCAGAAAGCCAGTTTGCCTTGAACTGCTGCTCGCCCTTAGCAGTTTTTTTGGTCTTCTTTAGGTTCCACTTGACAATAACCCAGTATTTCTCAATTGGGCGGAGCTCTGGCGTGTTGGGAGGGTTCTTGTCCTTGGGAACCACCTGCACGTTGTTGGCGGCGTACCACTCCATGGCCTTTTTACCGTAATGGCAAGATGCCAAATCCGGCCAAAACAGTACGGAACAACCGTGTTTCTTCAGGAAAGGCAGCAGACGTTTATTCAAACACTCTTTCACGTAAATTTCTTGGTTGACAGTCCCGGAATCTATGAAAATGCTGCTTTTCAAGCCACAGGTACAGATGGCTTGCCAAACCAGATATTTCTTTGCGAACTTTGACAGTTTTATGTGCTTGAAAACATCTGCTACCTTTCCCCTTCCTTTTGCCGTATAAAACTCCTGTCCCGGAAGCTGCTTGTAGTCGGCTTTGACGTAGGTTTCGTCGTCCATTACCACGCAGTCAAACTTCGTCAGCATCGTCGTGTACAGCCTCCGGGATCGCGCTTTGGCCGTCGTATTTTGTTTACCATCGCGATTTGGAGTCACTACCTTCTTGTAAGTCGATAGTCCGGCTCGTTTTTTAGCTCGATGCACGGTTGTAGACGATACACCCAGCTTATTTGCGGCATCTCGGAGAGAGAGGTTAGGGTTTCGCTTGAAACTACCGGCAACTCTCTTTGTCGTCTCAGCGGCTTCCGGTTTTCGATTTCCCCCTGATCCAGACTTCCTGGCTGTCGACAAACGTTCCCCAAACACTTTAATTACATTTGTAACGGTTGATTTGGCAACTTTTAGCGATTTTGCCAACTTTGCGTGCGAGTAGCTCGGATTTTCGCGATGCGCGAGCAAAATTTTGATACGCTGCTCTTCTTGCTTGGACGGCATTTTGACAACTGAAGAGTGAATTCCAAAATCAAAATAGGAGCAACATTCTACACACACACACCTTCAAAATGAGGGGTGTTCAGGTTTTTTAAATGCAAAATTGAAAGAAATACGTCAAGTTGATATTGACCAAATTTTGACCGTATCACCCTTTATACCTCAATTCTCTATTCTAACGGAGATATTAAGGTTCAAAGTTTTGGGCCACCCTATTTAGCATCCTGAATGAACTGGAAAGCTCCCGTTCCGACCTTCTCTGCTCGTCATGCGAAATTGTCATGAGATGACTCTTTCCTCCAGCTCTATAGGGACAAAATGCATTGCTTCAATTGAGTTCTGAATTTGTAAAGAATAATACTTACATCAACATATTTAAACTCCCAAGAAAGCCAATATAAAAAATCACAAAATTCATTACAAATTCAGGTGTTCCAAACTCATGACTTACTTCAGTACGTACGGCACAGTGCTAGGCATAGCATTCGGCACAACTAAAACTCTCGGCACAAATTATGGTGTGCAGAGTTGATTGCCCCTAGTTTGTCACTCATTTTAATGTATCTTGAGCAGATGGTGATCATCATTGAAATACATCTCGATGAACATTTCTAATGGCTGTCCTAGAAGGCAGTGATAAAATCAAAATTTGGGAAATTGGTTTTCACAAATGTGGAAATAATCCTTAGGATATTTCTAAATAAACATACCAAAAGGTCCTAGCTGCATGGATCGAATCTCTTCATTGACTATCTCATTTACCTTTAATTTTGATTTTCAGTCAGAAGATGATTTTCCCACTGATACCAACGTCCCGGTATTGATTTGCCGAGGAGCGTTCATGGAGGACTCAGCAGACTTTGCCATCTGTTTGGGATCAATGTTGGTCAATGTCCAACTTGACGTTGCATCTGCATTCGAGGTTTGGTATTCGGTTTAGAACCCCCGCAACAGGACAAACAGTTACATTCCTTTGTAACCGGAGCAGTCTATGGTGTAGGAAGCATGAGTACTGCATGTGAGAAGTTTTTAGTTTCTCTCGATTGAGCCTCTTTTTCCTATAGTAGTGACGGTACCATTTTTGAACAGTTTCTTTTTTACCGGAACATGGTTTTTGACGTGGGACTACGTCTTTAATTTCTATACTGGGGGTACATTTTGTGAAAACCGAAAATGGAACATGAAACAAAATTATGAAAGATTTTGAACATTAGTAACTCAGCTGCCCCTGGACCAATTTCTATAATGTTATCACCAATCGATCAGAAATATTTCGACGCATCTATAGCAATGTTTGTGACTGATGCTTTTCAACAAAAAACTATTGAAAATGTGGTAATGTCAAGCATTGTCCAATGTACAACTAAAAAGTGATAATTGTATCGCTGTTTTCATGAAATAAACGTTCCTCCCAAACACAGTCGTCATAATCGAGTACCACTTGGTTGCACATCATTCTGCTTTAACCTGAAAAGATTGTCTACGCTTTGAAGCGACAGACGCACTCTGTACGGTTTCGGAGGTTAAATCATCACCAACTTTGGCAATAGAACGGCCCTTTTCAGGGCCAACAAGCTTATAATAGCAAAGAGTTGGAATAGAACTTATATGTGCCTGTTTGTCCACATTCAGAATCACACGGCCCCAACCGACCACACAAAATGCTCTCCAGAGTTGTAATATTGTAACCAAACTTAGAAGCAGGGGTGCAAGTGATTTTGATCGATCGATCGATGATCTTCATCAACTATCATTTTAAAAAAATACTGCAAACTTGGTACGCCTACAAATTAAAAACGGAAAGAGTTAAGATAATTGATGATTGATCAATCAAAAGAACTAAATGCTCTTCACAATTGTTCCGTCCACTAGCGGTCCTACGTCAAGCTTCCGTTCGTGCCCCTAGGCACAGACCCTTCTACTTTTTTAAATGATTTTCAATAATAAAAGCACATTTATGCATCCCAAAACAAATTAAATAAATATATTTTATACATTTCTTTGAAAAACACTGGTTTTATTTTTATGAAAATTCGAAGCAACGTACCCTTAATCAAAATTTAAAGCAGGATTTGAAGTGAAAACCGAGCGCTGCCCAAAAGAACCGAATTTCACAAGGGGGGCGACACATATAAATCTCAATTCTAGATTCTCAACAAATCTCACACTAGCGAATCGATCTACGAAAAACCTTTTTTCATTTCTCGCATCTACTTGCATTGCGCATCATCTTTTTGCTGGAAATCTTCAGAATCGCCATCAATCTTCTTTCTATCTACTCAGCATGCGTGCAGCTAACCACAGCAAAACACAATTTTTCCTGCATTGTAGATAGCAGATAAAAACTCGGTTGTAATCAAACCGCGTTCGGTATTATTTTCTAAGTAGGCCACTGTGATCCATTCAAGAAAACTTGGAAGACAGTGCTGAACAAAAATGGCCGGAGATTGTACAGCACATGACTGCCATTTGAATATGAGTGAACGTTATAATGGTTTGCTTCATTTTGTAAATGTTAAAAGACAAAATGAATCAATGATTGTTAATGTACACCCTTTAGTAGAGTAGCACCGAATAGTGCAATTCGGCATGGTATTCGGTGTGCATATGAAAAATTTTGCTGATATTCGGCCATTTTCTTTCAAATGATTGGCCAACAAAACGTTCGAGTGAAATTTTGTTAGTGTAAAGCCTGATATTCGGCCAAAGTATTCGGCCGAATATTCGGTACAGCACTACCCTTTAGCATTTTTTTTTAACTAAGATTGTTTCTATAATGCACATTATATTGATAAATATAAGATATTTATTATATTATGTTGTATTATATTATATAATATTATTTAAATTATAAGATATTTGATATAAGATAAAACCGAAAATCCATTATTGCTAAATTGCCTGCTTGGAAACATGCCAGATTGAAGATCTTCTTCTAAGTTGCAATACGTTTTTCATTATCAAAGCAGCGTTAAAAATAAATTTGCAAACAACGTTTCCAAAACTTCTTACCTTCACCTTCCGGAATCGATACGGAATGCAGGTTAGCAGACAGGTTTCCAGCGTATAGTAGATCGATTTGAAGAAGAATATAAAAAAATCCACAAACAGCGTCAGGAAGTGATCCAGCGGATTTTCGTACAGCATATCGGTCATCTGGAGAGCCATTCTGCCCCGTCGTTTACTTATCTTCTATGCAAGCTCCGAGCCAAAAGAAACCCACTTTTGGTTAAACAAAAACTTATCACATCAAACACTTTCTTCACCCAAAAATAGCTCGTAAACCTGCCCTCAAACGATTGCCAGCCACGGAAGACGAAGACCGCTACCAACTGGGAGAGCTTTGGGAACTTTCTTTTTCTTATGCCTTTCTTCGTCTCACTCACTCAAGCGCCGTTTCTTCAACCGTCGTCTTTCAATCAATAAAATGCTTACAATTGCAGCAGGCCACGAGTAAACACACTAGCGGGCAAGAAGAGCAGAGAAAGACGAAACAAGATTCGGAACGCGGAACAGTTATGGGTAGCAGGCCACGACTTTCTTCGAACCCGGTGTAGGCTCTTGGGTAACAACAATGCAAAGCACAAAGTAGACAGGTATGGTTGCACGCCCGGTAAGGAAAGCGATTCGACCGATCGCTGGAAGACGATGGAGCAGACTGACTGATCGTAGTTTCTGTGCTCAGGTGAGTGTGGCGATGATCGCGAGGGTGCATACGACGCCCGATGGACGACGTCGGCGGCGCGAAGACAACCGGATCGTTTCGAAACGACCACGTGGTGGGTTCCACTCTATCCGAATTATGGTTTTTCGTAAGTAACTCAAGTGCTTTGGAGTGTTTTTTCTTTTCTTTTTTTTTGTGATTGATTTGAGTTTTGGAGAAAGAATTTTGCTGACTGTTTGCGTATGGATCCTACGAGAAGCCCTTCAACACGGGGTCATCGGTTTGACCTGGCTGGCGTGAAGCGTAATGTGTTACCTGAGTCATAAAAAATATACAGATGTGGCCCAATTAAGTGAAGAGAACATTAAGAGGCTAACTGATTTTTTTTTTTTTTATTAACTAGTTCGTTTATTTGGGAGGCTCAATCGCGTTAGCTTTACGGAGCCGATAGTTCATTGTTCTTTGTTTGTAACAAAATTCACTTAATTCTATGTCTAGTAGGAGTTGGGCCGAATACTCGCGGCTTACTCGAGGTTAGAGAGGTACATTGTCGAAGGATAGGATCAGGGGAGGAGTTTGGGGGTAAGGTTTCGTTGTCTCATCAGAGCGTTGTCGCCAGTATGAATGGTAGTGCGGTTCTAGTTTCGTCTGGAGTTCGACCGGCTATGGTGACCAGTGGGCGACGATGAGACTCATCGAGACGGGGGGACAAGACAAACAGAAACTATTAAAGAGAGACAAAAGACAAAGGAATTAAATTCTTATACTAGACATTTTAAGAAACACATAAACCGACTGCATATAGCAGATATCGCGAGTTCCCAACACGTCTCTGATAGGAACATAGGGTTGTCTTCCTTGGGCCTCAAGGGTATTCAAAAGTCGCTCTCTGGCGGCGTCATTATCCGTACATTGCCAAACTGCGTGATCGATGTCATCGTAACCGTTTCCACACCGACAGATGTTGCTGTCTACGAGGTTTATTCTATTGAGATGAGCATCTAGCGAGTAGTGGTTGGACATAAGTCTACTCATCACGCGAATGAAGTCACGACTTAAGTCCAAGCCTTTAAACCACGCTCTCGAAGAAACATTAGGAATAATTGAATGTAACCACCGTCCAAGATTTCCATTGTCCCAATCGGTTTGCCAACTCGAAAGGGTACTCTGACGCACTAAATAGTAAAATTCATCGTGTGAAATTTGCCTGTCATAAAATTCGCCTTCCTGCGCGCCCACCTTTGCGAGAGAGTCCGCCTTCTCATTGCCTGGGATTGAGCAATGTGATGGGACCCATACAAAGGTAATCATATGTGATCTTTCGACCAGTACACTCATCTGCTCCCTTACCTTTGAAAGGAAATAAGATGAGTGCCTACTTGGTTTCATCGACCGAATAGCCTCAATCGAACTGAGACTATCCGAGAAGATGAAGTAATGGTCTGCGGGCATGGTGGAAATCATCCCCAATGCGAAGTTGATTGCTGCCAGCTCAGCAACAAAAACGGAACAAGGTTCCTGGAGTTTGCGGAAGGCGCTAGAGTTTTCATTGAAGACACCGAAGCCAGTGGATCCACTGAGACGAGACCCGTCTGTAAAATATCTGTTTACGCAATTGACGTGTTGGTACTTTTCAGTAAAAATACGCGGGATAATAATAGTTCGAAGTTGATCTGGAATCCCGTTAATCACTTGTTTCATGGACAGATCATATTCAATTGAGGAACTGCGATTGGTGAAGTGAGCACGGTCTGGAGTATAACAAGGAAGACACATATCCGACGATATGTAGTGGTGGTAGATTCTCATAAATCGAGATTGTGAATTCAGCCCAAGAATTTCTTCAAAATTTGCAATTATAAGTGTGTTCGTCACTCCGCATTTGATTAGTATTCTGAGAGAGAGCTCCCAGAAACGGTTTTGGAGGGGGGTTACTCCTGCCAGAACCTCGAGACTCATGTTATGCGTTGAGTGCATACAGCCAAGAGCAATACGCAGACAACGATATTGAATTCGTTCCAATTTTATTAGGTGACATTTTCTTGCCGAAAGAAAGCAGAAAGAGCCGTACTCTAGAACAGAGAGAATAGTTGTTTTATAAAGCGTTATGAGGTCTCCCGGATGAGAACCCCACCATGTGCCGCAAATTGAACGGAGAAAGTTGATCCTCTGCTGACATTTTTGCTTCAAATACGTAATATGGGTATTCCAAGTGCACTTTGAATCAAACCAGACCCCAAGGTACTTGAAAAACAATGATTGAGTTTCTGCCCAAAAGATTAAGATGCATTTGGGCTAGGTACCGCTTTCGAGTAAACACTACCAGTTCAGTTTTCTGCGGCGAGAATTCGATCCCTAGATTCCTAGCCCAAGAAGACAAGTTATCTAAGGAACTTTGCAATGGTCCTTGCAAGTCCACGGCATGTGGACCTCTTATGGAAACCACACCGTCATCTGCAAGTTGTCTTAGCGTGCATTGTTCTGCCAAACAGTTGTCGATATCTTTGACATAAAAGTTATAAAGAAGAGGGCTGAGACATGAGCCTTGGGGCAGGCCCATGTAGCTAATTCTGGAAGTTGTCAGTTGTCCAAGGGAAAAGTTCATTTGCTTTTCTGACAACAAATTGTACAAGAAATTATTTAAAATTCCGGAAAGTCCACATCTGTGCAGATTGTCTGACAGAATTTCAATGGAAACTGAATCAAAAGCCCCCTTAGTGTCCAAGAATACTGAAGCCAATTGCTCCTTGTGCGCAAAGGCCAGTTGAATATCTGTGGAAAGCAGCTCTAGACAATCGTTTGTTCCTTTGCTCTTGCGGAACCCAAACTGTGTATTTGATAGCAAGTTATTTGATTCGACCCAGTGATCGAGTCTCCGAAGGATCATTTTCTCCAACAATTTCCTAATGCACGAAAGCATAGCAATCGGACGGTATGAGTTATGGTCAGACGCTGATTTGCCAGGTTTTTTAATGGCTATTACTTTGACCTGTCTCCATTCAGGCGGTACAATGTTGTTTTCTAGCAAGGAATTGAATAAATCTAGCAAGCGTCTTTTAGCGATATCTGGGAGATTTTTCAGAAGATTGAATTTAATCATATCGCTTCCCGGTGAGGAGTTGTTCGATGAAAGAAGAGCCATAGAGAATTCCAGCATTGTGAATGGTATATCCAGAGAGCTGCCGCTCGGAGACGCTTCTCGAAGAATGTGTTGTGCTGGAACTGAGTCCGGACAGACCTTTTTAGCGAAATCGAATATCCATCGGTTGGAGTATTCTTCACTCTCATTAGAAGATGAGCGGTTACGCATGTTGCGAGCCACCCTCCACAAGGTGGTCATTGAGGTTTCTCGTGAGAGTCCCTCGACGAAATTGCGCCAATAACCGCGTTTTTTTGCTTTGATTAACTGTTTCAGCTTTGTCTCAAGCTTTGAATATTCCTCGAAGTATGTGGAGGTTTTGTGTCTACGAAAAGCTTTGAAAGCATCAGATTTTTCTACATACAGTTTTGTGCATTCTTCGTCCCATCCAGGTGTGGCTGGTCTCCTTTTGAAGGGCGCACTTGGAACTTTTCTTTTTTGTGCTTCCAGTGAGCTTTTGTAAATCAAATCGGCGAGGAATCGATATTCTTCCAATGGTGGAAGCGTATCTATTGATTCGGCACCGATTGTCACCGCCGTTGCATATTTCTACCAATCTATGTTCCTTGTAAGATGAAATGGAACTCGAGATGGTTCTGCAGAGTGAGGGGCACACTTAATTGAAATGATGATTGGCAAATGATCGCTACCATGGGGATCATTGATAACCTTCCACAGACAATCCAATGATAGCGATCTTGAACACAAAGATATGTCGAGTCGGCTTTCTCGAGCCGGAGGTTTTGCTATACGTGTCACTTCACCAGTGTTCAAAATAGTCAAGTTGAAATCGTCGCATAAATCGTAAAAAATAGCCGCTCTATTGTCATCATATAGATCGCCCCACCCAGTACCATGGGAGTTCATATCACCCAGAATTAATACTGGGGATGGAAGAATCGAAACTAGATTCCAGAGTTGACTACGGCTAATGGAGGTTCTTGGTGGAACATAAACTGAAGCTATGCAAAGGTCTTTGTTCTTCACATTTATTTGGCAAGCGACGATTTCGACGCCTGATAGAGCAGGAAGGGAAATTTTGTAGAAAGGGTAGCACTTTTTGATCCCTAAAAGTACTCCTCCATAAGAATCGTCTCTATCCAGGCGTATAATGTTAAAATCGTGGAAGTTGAGTTCTTTATCGGAAGAAAGCCATGTTTCACAGAGAGCAAATATATCACAATCAGAATTGTGAAGTAAAAATTTGAACGAGTCTAGTTTAGGCACTAGACTACGGCAGTTCCACTGTAGCACAGTGATCATATCTTCAACCTCGTTCGACGAATTATCCATCGAAAGATATGATTGATGCAAGGAGGGGCCATGAAACAGTCAATTGCTTAAGATATGATTCTAACGTTGGAAGCAAGGCAGAAACTAAGCTTCTTAGA